CGACAACCCACAAGCTCTCATTTCTTCTTCTCACCATCTCCTCCATGTCAACCTCACCTCCAAAGCCCAACTCGGCGCTTCCCATCTCGGTTCCATTCAACGACCTGATACATGACATCCCCAGTCCGACTTCTCAGTTCATGACCAATCCATCTCCACTTCCTTCCAGTGCATATTTGTTCAGCGATAGGTTCTTGCTTCGTTGGTTCGTTGCCAGCCAGCCAGCCAACCAGCCAACCAGCCAACCAGAGTTCCTGGTTGCTTATTCTTTCCGGCCATCTGATTTTCAGTGACGAGTGAGCGTAGACGGCAGTTGTTGATGACTGTCTTCAGTTTGTTGGAAATCCCTTTCGTAACCCGCCAAGTCTCTCAACCATCACATAGAAGCACTGACAGACTTGACTGAATTGGTGTTGAAAATCCAAATCTTGTTCACACTTTATGCTGAGTGCAGTGCAGAAGATCTCCACACTGGTCTCAGGCTAATGAACGCATGTCTTGCTATCTTTCCGATCCTGACTTTGACATCTTCGTCTGTGCCACCTATAGTTGAGACAGTGCTGCCTAGATAGGTGTAGGTGAAGGAGGCTACTTCCTTTAAGTTCCTCTCGTTGATGGTGATTGCAGCTTGTTGTTGTTGTTGTTGGTGTTGTTGGTTGGGTATCTTCATCACCACTGTCTTCTCTACATTCACTTGAATTCCCGTCTTCGCTGACCTGCTCTGCCCTGCCCTGCCCCGCCTCTTCTGCCAACTTGTTAGTTTTCGCCTGTACATCCTCAAGTTTGTGTGACATCTCATCAGACATAAATCATAGGCAAAATCCAAATCTTCTAGGTTCTCTTCATCGGTCCAGTGTATCCCCCTCTTCTCACAGCTCCTCACTGTTTGTTGCATGACGCAGTCGAGTCGACCACAATCAGGAATATCATGGATTGTGATAGTAGGTGGCAACCTTGTTTCACTCATATCTTCACTTCAAAGGCATCACTGAGCTTCTCATTGTGAATTACTTGGCTGGCATGTGGCGTGTTCAGATAGTTGTTGAATGAGGCTGATAAAGGTTTGTGATATTCTGTGGTGTTGAATCAGTTTCCAAATTACTTCTTGTTCGACGCTGTCAATGGCCTTTTCAAAGTTGATGAAGTTTCGGTCATGTGGAGGGTTGACTGCCATTCTATACTCTGTTCTATGATGATGTGAAGTGTTGCAATTTGGTCCGCGCATGTTTTGTACTTCCTGGAGCCAGCCAGCAGCCTGTTTCGGTCGTAGTTTTGAATCCAGCGTATTTTTAATCTCTCCAGTATGACGGGGCCTAATATCTTGCTTGGGGTGGACAAGAAAGTGATTCCTCGCCGGTTCTTGCAAACACTGAGGTCTCCCTTCTTCGGGAGTTTGACAAGGTAACCCTTCTGCCAATCAATGACCAGGTACCTTCCCCTACTTCCAGTCCTTCTGCAATAGTGGTTTGAGCATGTCCGCTGTTGTCCCTGCCTCTGCTCTCAGTGCTTCTGGTGGGATCCCATCTACTCCTGCTACTTTCCCGCACTTCAGTAGCCTTATGGCTTTCAGGACTTCCACTTTTGTCGGAAAGCTTGTGTTCACTTGTAGTTCTGTGGCTGCAAGTGATATTTCTGGATGAAGTGCAGTTGGTGGTGATGGTCGATTCAAGAGCTTCTGAAGTGGTTAGCACATAGTTTCCTTGGTTTCTCTTCTTCGGTAATTAAATTTCCTTCATCATCTTTTATTGGTTTCATGTGTGTTGATCTCTCCCCTACCAGATAGTCAGTAACCTGGTTATTTGATACAATGTTGTCAGGTTTCTGTCTCTCCTACCAGCAGCCTGTTCTACTTCACTTGCCAGTGTGTCGTGGAGGTGTCTTTTGTCTTTCTGTGCACTCTTCTTCACTTCTTTGTCCAGTTTAGTGTTTATAGATTGTGTTCACTTCCTCTTCTCGTCATTCATCCTTTCACTGCACTGTTTTATCTTCTGCTTCACCATCCTCCTCTCCCTGCTCCATCAGCTTCCATATGTCCATCGAGATCCATTCCATTTTTGTCTTCTTTCTTCTTCCTTCTTAATACGGTTATGCAGGTTTCTTTCCACATAGCTTTCAAAGACATTCAGTGTTCTTCCACACAGATTTCTTCAGAGATATCCTTCAATATCTCCCATTTTGTTTGATGGCTGTTGTGAAGATTTCCTTTGTAGTTTCATCCTTCAGTTTCTGTCCTGGGTGTTCAACTTGAACTGTGGCCTATCACCAGCTTCCTTGAAGGCTTTCAACTTGATTTTGAAGGTAGGTTCTCTGCACTAGATATAGTGGTGTGAGTGGTGTGAACCCACATCTGCTCCCCTTCTTGACCTTGTGTCCAGTAGGCTGACTGCGTCTCCACTTTCTTCACATTGAGATAAAGTCGACCTGATTTTTAGTGTATCTTGGTGTCTGGTGAAATCCATGTCGCCCGCTTTGTGAATATCCTTGTGCTTGTGCATACTGCCTCCAATCACCAAATCGTTGAACGTGCAGAAGTCTCCAAACAATTTTCCATTCTCGTTCATTTCACCGAGCACTTCCCAACCCATGGTTTGTTCTCTTCCTGTGTTGTCTGCTCCCAGTTTCACATTCATGTCGCCCCATCCACTAGAATTGTGATGTCGCCAAATGGGATGGGGTCTTGACCAGTGTTGATTGCAGTTGTCTGTAGAATTCCTACTTTTTCTCTTGATCCGCATTATTTGTAGGTGCATAGCGTAGCATTGTGTGATTGTGACTTTCCTTCCTTTTGAGTTGAACCTTGCTGTCATGATCCTCTGGGAGGAGATTGGTTCCCACTGCATGACAGAGAGCCTTCGATGCTCTTGTGGACATCATGATAGCTACTCCATAACTCAGTGTGCTCGTGGTTGTCAGTATCTGAGTAGATTATTGACTCCTCTCCAGTTGATAGTTTGGAGAATCCACTCCCATTCCATCTGCTTTCGCAAATTCCTAGCACTTCAGTGTGATACCTTCTCATCTGGTTTGCAATCTGGCTGCCTTGCTGGGTTCAAACATGGTGCGGACATTCCATGTCCCCATCCTTACTTTCGCTTTCATCGAGAGAGGGAAGACACATCGGCCAATTGGCTTCCCGAAGGTTTTCGCCAGTTGGCGTCATTTCGCCTCTCCGATTCCAGAGAGGAATAATTTTGTTATTATTTTTTATATTTCGTTTGTGCTTTGAAGTTTCTTAGAGGTTAGATTTGTTTTATGGAGTAGGGTTGCTGTCCCTACGCCCAACCTTCCCTCTTTACCCGGGCTTAGGACCGGCTAGTAACTATTTTCTAGTTAACCAGGCCAGGTTTGCCTCCAACCAGCTAGTACTTAATTTAACATCCTTAATGTGGAAATAACACAAAGGTAAATGTTAACTTGTCACTTCATGCTAGATAGAGTATGATAAAATGCAGATAGACATAATAGTACCGATCGAGACTAGTACGTTCGAGAACATTACTCAGCCTATTTGTTGAAGGGTGAAAATAAAACCATTTCCAGCCCCATCGTTGAACGTCTCGTCAACTCTGCACACCTGATTCTTCTGGTAACTTCGTTCAAAGTTAACTACAAACTTCGACCGGACCATTCAAAAGGATGAGGATTAGCCACTTATGTGTAGCCAAAGCTTTTGCGATTCCCAGCCTCAAACCTGAATTGTGTATTCAAGAAAAAACGTGTACAAATACTCTCTTTAACAAATGGTCTTCATCAAGTACTCTGCACCTCTGTTTATACTTTATTTCGTATTTCATTTATTTATATTTCATTACATGTTTTAATCTAAATTTCCCGTTGCTATACAGAGCCGAATTGTTTGATCTGTGCTCAGCCCTGTATAGCATGTTTCATTACAACAAGTGACAACCGTTACACAAGAGGTGGTTATCGTGCCCCACTGGCTTGGTGGATAACGCAATGGTGTTTGAAACGAAGGGTAATTGTTTCAAGCCTCGATGGAAACAACACTACGCACTGGGGTGGAGATACATCCGACTGACGAATCCCAAGTAGGATGAAAGCGCGTCCTGGATTGCTGTGTCGGTCACCGAGATCATGTCTTGTGTTATGTAATATCATTTCATTCCCTACATACACCTATTGATTAAGTTTGACCTTAGACGCGAAATTTGTCTGGAATATTCTATCATTTTAATCAAGAATCTACGAATATACATTTATTAACGTCTGAAGACAAATTTTCAGAATCGGCCACATTGGCTGTTTAGTTCCTTGGAAAGACAATACATAGGTAAGCAACTAAAATGGTGGAGAATATTTGCAGCTCAGGTGGATCATGTTGATTGTGTTGTCTGAGGTGGATGGTTTTATCATAAAACTTTCATTATCTTTCTAGGCAACATCGTCAACAATAACTTGAAGTCAATCATTTAGAGAAGTGCAATGGAACGAAACTTTTACACATAACGTTCTTTGACCTTTCTCAATAACTTTGGTATGCGCTGATCGCTTGTGGTAGTTCTTCAGGGTTATTTTGACCTATCTCAAATGTGATATTACAAATATTACATTATTATGCGTCTTATCATGTTTACTTACCTACACTCTACATTTTACACTTCAGCTGAGTATCTTATAACACTCAGTTGAAATGTTGCAATTTAATAGTTCTAAGTTGGTGTACATCAACAACCAGCTCATAAATGAAATGTGTATACAAGTTCATTGAACATGTGAACAAAACCGCCACATATTTCAGTAGCCAATCAATTATCAGATAACTTTAATGACCCACACATAAATCATTAATCATGCATGTATAGTATTATAATGAATAAATATAAATAGCGTTAAAATTGCCTCATCATTTATAATTCCTACTGAAGAAAAGGCAATAGTGAAATAGAGAAAAGTCTTGAAATCACTGTCATATTTAGTTTTTATACAATTTCTATCATTTAGACCCGTTTACCTTCTATTTAATTTTACTACTGTATTAGTTATTGGATAGTATCAGAGAAACAATACTGGAATACACTGATATTTGAAGAAAATGTAAGTAAACATTGAATTTCATTTTTATTTTAAATGAAAATTTTTTTTTTAATTATTTTTAGAGGTAAGTATGTTACATGCATGAAGTATTCACTGGTTTTAAACTATAAAGTGTGACCAATAGGCTTAGTAACAGAACACTACAGTGTTTTGTATTTCACTGGGCTGAAACTTGGGTGAATCATAGCTATTTTTTCTTATGACTCTTTTTTCTTCAGTTTGATAAATTTCAGTGTAAACAGTTTCTTATTCTTATTCATTGATGTTTTTAATTTCTGGTTACTAAATTTGGTCGAACTGCTCAACCTCTATTGGTAGATGGGCTCCTATGTGAATACCTCGATACTGCTCAGATATTCATTATATTATAGTTTACATGGTGACTAGCAGAGAAACCCAGGATGCGTGTTTCATCCTACTGGAAACTGGATGTACCTGAACTTACCAGGGCTCGAACCCGGTACCCACAGCATCAAACACCGAACCGCTACCGACTAAGCCACTTGGGCAGGAGAAATACCTCTTGTACAATAGGTATGAATTGCTGTTTATTCATACAGAGGTAGAGCAATTCGACCCAGTATAACAACAGAAAGTAGCAAGCGTAAAGTATATCCTGAGCCGGTCTCAGTGGGAACAATATCACTCAAGTATATTCAGCTGAAAAGTCTCAAATAGGACTCCAACCACCAAGTTAGCTACATTTCCTATCCTGTTTTTCTGAAAAACTCTTATGGAAAACATTTACATATATCCGAGTTGTATTCGAATCGCAAGTCTGATCCTATGTTGACTGGCTTTCATTTTTCTAAGGCCTATGACTATTCCTCAGCAGGTAATTCGAACCCGATGAATCACTATTTTCTTCGTGTGTGGGTTCTTAGCCGATACCGTCTGATCTATTTTAGCAACATTGAGTGATTGGTAAGGAAATTTCATATAACCACAATTCACTGGAAAGAAGGGACTGGTTAGTATATGTTCGAGTCTGTAATGAGTAAAAACCGTACTTGGAACTAAAGTAAGGCAAAACATCCTGCTGATTCTCATCAAGTATGCGAAACCTGTGAATGACTGAGTTTTATGTTTCTTGCACAAAACTGAATTAGATAACACCTAATGAATAATGATGCAGCTGATGACTGCTGGTGACTGATGAAATGAGGAGGTTACAGGTCTTCTACTTGTAGAAACCTCACATGATAAGCAATGCTGAGCTGAAATATTAACTTCTGAATGATGAAGGAAGAATGTTGGATGGAGCTGTGGATTGACACAGATGAAGGTGTCTGGAAATCATTCTTCATCTTTCAACCCACCATGTGTCGTAATTTGTGATATCAGCTAAAGTAAAATTAGACCGGGAAGATAACATTTCAGTTTTATTACGTGAGTGATTGTCGGTTTCAGAGGTTTTTAAAGGTGCAGATTATGTGTCTCAGCTCGTTAACCTGTTGAGAATCAATATTTGGGGATATCTGAAGGTATACCCTGTAACCGATTAAAACTAAGTGAACAAATAAACTCCCAAACAGAACTTCTATGATAGTTTCTGTGTTGTTTCACTTTTTCATCTGCTTATTTTAGAAGCACTAAAAGCCCACTGCAGCCAATGCTACTCCATTCAAATGAAACATTTCTTAGTTTGTACAGGTAACTGATGGTTCATATGGTTTATCCACACCATTTTAGCAAATAAAAATAAACAATGACAAATAAAAACACAACCTTAGTTGAGTAAGGAAAGAAGCCTGCACAGACAAGCTTTTTTAAGATCATAAGTGCAGTATTCAGATGAAGTTACTACCAATAGTACAATGATTTTCAACGGAGATACAAACAGCTGAAAAGAAGTCGACCAACCATCGGCCATCTAGAAAAGATACTACTCAAATCAATACAGTAGTATCAAAATAGTAAGAAAGGTCATATACTTACATCCTTCTCCACCCCACAACAAAACTTATTTTTCTTTACATCACACATTAAGATCAGCTGGTTTTAGATGTGAGAAAAAATTGTTGCTTACACTCACAGCTCAAAAGTTCTCAAGGTCAATGCACACTATATTTTAATAATAAGTTGAGTGAAATCTGTGTCACTGAGAAAAATAATTAGGTGTGATATAAAATCCTCCAACCTGGTAGTGCTAATAATGTTTATGATCATAAGATAGAACACAATTTTGGTTCTCTCACTGAACTACAGTTCTTCATCACCACTTCCTACTTTATCCTGCCTTCTGACTACAAGTCAAAGGGAATTTTAAACACGGTGATGATATACACAACTCTGTTTTGAATATAAAGGGAATCTGCTTATCTCAGCCAGAAAATGGAACCAGTCTTCCACTTTTAATAATAAATTTTATGTATTCAACATCTAGGGATAGTAAAAGTAAATGCTTATCAAGTCATCTAGCCTGAAGATGAAACATCCAATACGCAACCTCTTATAGGAGGTCGATCACTTCCCGGATAACTCAGTGATAACGTTGCTAAATGCCACACTAGGTTACTTCGGTTAGGATCTCATGAGGGACATTAATGACCTCAAGATTGTTGCCGATTACCTCCGACCAAATATCAACCTCAGAGTACATAAAACAAGCAATCAAGACTCAGGACATATTCTTCAACTACTTACCATTTGGACAGTAATTATATTTCTTGTAAGTGGTCATGTTTGTGTGTTCAGGCCTTTCACCTGTCTATAAAATCAAGCTGTGTGCTATTTTTTTTGTAGCGTGTCATTCATAATAAACAAAAAGAACAATCCATAACTTGTCAGAAAAGTGTAGCGTTCCTAGTTGTCAGCCTTTTTGACTTCAGGAAAGAGGAAGAGAAAAGACATTCAAGAATGTTGATCCAAGCAAGAAGCACATGAGTAGAGGCAGAATAAGTCAAAAAATAAGTGAACAAGATATGTAGAATTCTGAAAATGACGGAGAATAAATACATTAATGTCACTGATAGACTGTGAACCCCATTGCCAACAGTCTGTAATCACTGATTCTTAACATCTTGAGGTTTTATCTCAGTTGATGCAGGTTTACAGCCTGTTATTATGAGTAACACTCAATTCTAATCTTAATAAATCTGTAGTCTCCCCATATGTAAAAAAATCTCCATGCACAGCCATATATCTCACATTTGACCGTCATATTCTGGAGTTAAAATGCGGATACAGAAGGCGGTTGCGTAGTTCTGATGCACTTTAATATGTTATGATGTATGTCATGAAGTGCAGAGGTGAGAAAGTACTTTGTATCCACGTTAAGATTTGTCTTCCAAGTAAGAGTGGCGAATAAACACTGAAGAGAACTCTCCATTCAAACCCACGACAGTTGCTTTGTGAGTCACCACCTAAACTTCGTTAATAGTCTATGCATCAGATGTGTAGACAGCACACTTGCTTGGAAATATACCTATAGGATTGTGAAATTATCTGTCAAAATGATATAGAGATAGTTATTCGTTTGTATATGATCTACTGTGTTGCCATCATACCAAGATTTCAACTCAGGGATAAGAATAAACAAAGCAAAACAGAAACTTCTCAGGTTTGCACTCATTATGGACCGACATGAGTCGGAGTAACATTGGAAACCTCGGACTCTGGACATCCATTTCGTCCTAGTACGCGGGCCATCCGTAGTGTGCATCCAAAACCTAGCAGGGAACGAAAACCAGGACCTTCAGGTTCCACGGTTATTATTGAGACACTGGGCTGTGCTAAATCGTGAACCGAAAGAATTTGGAAATGTGGACGATTGAATTCTGACTCAGTGGCTGAGTGGTAACGTGCTTGTAGCGGGAACTGAAGTTCCTGAGTTTGATCCACGGTGGTGAGTGCTCACTGCCAAGGAGTCCCATATTAGGACAACGCAGCTTCCCAGTGATCCCAGCTTTCCAATATTTCTATAACTGACGTCAGTTCATGATGAATACTAACCTGAAAGAAAGAAATAAGTCCCCAAAAACTTTCAAACTGAAGAATCTTTTCCTAAACTAATAAGTTACATACAGTAACTTTATTCACCTACAATAGAACTTACACCTTCAAGAAGTTAAAATGTTCTAAACTTTTGTAGTAATTACAAACTAGATCGATAACAAGGCGTAAAAACCATGCGACACACTATCACTGATTAATAGTTGAATTTACCACAGTTGAAATCATCACAGTAAAACAAAAGTCAATAAGAGGAAAGATGAGGGAATGTGTATTATGATATCAGCACCTTTTAAGAACGCCATAAAACAAAAACAGTAGAGATGGATGATATTAAGGTTTTTATACAAACAACCATTTCATTTTTCTGCTAACCGGAACCAAAAAGATAGAAATTCTTTGCATAACTCAAGCCAACGGTCAAAACTGAATAGGTAAGTTTCATGTTTTGGTGCAATCGCTGCTAGATTTCTTTCTGTTCAATTCTTCTAACGACTAACATAGTAGTCGAATCATGAATGAGGAATCGAGTAATGACATATCCTGAAACTGTTTATCAATGAACCTGACATAGTCTCGTGGTAATCTAAAGACGTAAAAGTGAACAGAAAGTGTTGATATACGCAATGACTAGTGATACTGGACGTTAATTAAAGGTAAACTGAGAATTTCATTCGACTTCTTCAACTGTCAAGCGTTTCAGATCATTTTCAATCATCACCCGGTATCAATAACATCGGTCTTTCACGCCATATGTCTCTCAGCTAGTATCATCATTATTTCCTTTGAACAACAGTAGAATCTAAGATTACTGTTTGATTCTGCTTGAGGATCGTGAGATTTCCAAAGAAGTCAAGATCAATCTCCGTTGGAAAAAATGCTGTACAGAGAAAAGTGTAAATCCTAATATTCAGTTAGACACAGAAAAGAAATAACTTTATAGATTATCATATAGGAGAAAACTAAAAACTGTTTTTGTATCACTTCCCTTAACATTTAATACTACAAAGCTAGACATAGCATAATTCTATGCTAATCTTCCGACTTTAGAAATAATGGTAGATAAAGTATAGACTGTAACACCAAGATACACAGTTTAGTGGCTGCATTTTATTCTCTAATCCATGAATTTTGATCACCATTGAGATGTTAATTATATCCCACAGAGTGATCCATTCACTGTCCCTACATTTACCGGTGGTTAGAACAGATGAGCTAAATTATGTTATCTAAATCATCAGTTTGTCAGCGTTTAAGTTTACCGGCATAAATTTATCAGTCGATATCATGAACAGTTTAGTTATCACAAAATTTGGAAGTATGTGATAACACGAATAAAATGTAATACTCGAACAGCTACAGTATAGAGCAAGATAGAGTAGAATTTACACTAACTGATCAGTGAATAGTATCCTTCTACTTATTTCAAAGCAATTTCTACCACGAATTGTTATCATTTGGTGAACCATTGTAAACGTAGCATCATGGAACAGTTATATCGCCCTATCATGAAACTTTTCGACAGTGCGCATCCAACTCATCTCCAAGGATCAAGCCGAAAATTGTCAGGTCTCACACTGAGCACATTTACATTCAAACCTTTCATGGGGTTGTGCGTGTACTGAAGAGTTCTACACAAGAAGAAATAGCTTCCCGGAGCTTTCAGTTTTTCAGCCGTTCTCCAACTGATATCAGTTGGTGGTGTATACAACAAGATTCCCCCACCAGAACACTGAAATATATGATCAGATATTTAAGTGTTCAAAAAGAATAAAAAATAATTAGTCGTGATAGAAATAACGATAGGTGAGCCTTCAGTAATAATACACTAGGATAAGATAGCTAGTGGTTGTTAAGTTTGATTACTGAGTTATGAAACTGTTATAATCAGTAATCATGAAGACGAATGAGAGAATATGCAAAAATGAGAACTAACAGAGAATCCACAGGCCTTAGATGAAAACAATTTGTGAAGGGTTGTAAATGAATAAATGCGAGTATGTATTAACAGCATTTATCTGCATAAAATAAACTTTTTATCAATGACATGCGGAAAATATATTCTGAATGCAAGGATAATCAGGTCATGAATACTTGAACGTAACATTCCTGCCAGTGAACTCTTCTACCTGATCTAGTAACTCTTTCAGACTTTTTTGTTGTAGTGTCAATTGTTGTACTTTGCCTGAATGTGATATAGTTGCCAGCTGTTTCTGCAGAATCATCGGTAAAGGCAGGCTTTGCTTGGTCGATACCAACAGCCTCTGCTTTGTTGAGCCTTTCGATTGTAAAGACTTTATCATTTCTGTTTAAGACTTTGTAGGGACCATCACAAGCTGGTTTTAGTGGTCACTGGACTCCATCTCTTCTTACATACAGTAGTTTTGCTGCGATGAAACATGTGACAGTCGTTGTTTTAATCGTAAGAGTGATATTTTCATCTCCTTCATACGTAATTGGTCATATAGAGTGGGATTTGGTTATCTGGGGTGAAAACTTCTGCTGGTAATCGTAATGTTGTCTCGTAGACTGACTCTTAATTATAGTAACCAATATTTCACTTCAAAGTGGATTTAATTCTAAATTGTGCCGAAAGGAGTTTGGTAGACCAGTTATTGTCAATCAGAGTAACAGTAAGTGCTACTCAAAGTTGTCTATGTAAGCGTTCCGCCACACCATTAAGAATAGGATGGTATGCTTTTGTGTGTATCCGTTTGGTGCCAAACAAGTCAGTGAGTTGTTGGAATAAGTAACTCTCAAACTGTGCACCTCGTTCAATAGTGATGGCTGTGGGGGCACCAAAGTTGGATATCTAGTGGGTCACCTATGCTTTGGCAAGTGTTTCGGCTGAAATATCCCGTAGCATAACAGCAGAAGGTGAGGGAGTAGAAGTATCTATGCATGTGAGGAGATAGTGAAAACTGTTGAAAGGAGGCAGCGGTCCAGTGGTCTACGTGGATATGCTCAAATATGGCCATCGGATTGGAAAACTGACCAAATGGAGCGTTGGTGTGACAATGCACATTTACTCTTTGACACGTAAGACATGTTCTTGTCTACCGTTCAACATCACTATTTATATTTGATCAAACAAATCTCTCGTTAATCAGCGTCATCGTGGCACTGACCCCAGGGTGTGATAAGTTAAGCAGTTTGCCAAATACGATGCATGCCATTGCCCGAGGTAAGAAAGGACGAAATTTTCCATTGGATGTGTCACATATAACCCTGACTGTATTAAATTAAGATTCAGAAAAAACTAAGGAAGTTGTCGTCGAAGACATTAACTTCTTCAGTCTTGAATCATCTTTCTGTAGCTCAGATAGGTGTCAGCAATCAATGTCCGGACACACCTCGTTATTGACGTGTATGCATAAGAATGCATCAGTAACTTTGTTTGTGGTGCCTTTCATGCGCTGAACACCAGAAGTGATTGCATGAGTAAGTGCTACTTGAATGGATATTGAGTCAATGATCGTGCCAATAACGTCGGTTGTATTATTTGGATTATTCAGCGAATGTTCCTTCGATTCAACTGAAAAGTAATAGTGGTGTAGGAAATCAGTTCCAATAATCACTTGTGGCACATCTCCTAGAATAAATGACCAAGCGTGGTCATCGAGGCCAAAATCCACTTTCATGGTTTTTTTCATAAGTAACAATACTGGATTTATTTACGGTTTGTAGAGATAAGGCGGGATAGGAACATCGACGTTCATAGCCATTAGGAATAATTACGCTCTTTTTGGCTCCTGTGTCCCCAAGAAACTTAATGCCAGCATTTTTATCTATTATACAGAACAAGCAACCGTTTGATTTGTAAGTGTCAGCGACATAATTCACCACAGGTTCCCGGCTTGTCTGATTCCCATAAAAGGGTTTATCTGAATATTTGAAATTGCATGGTAATAGACAACAGCGTGCGTGATTACTCTATTTCTTTATGATACCAACAGATATCCGTGACATCCGTCGGTAGGCCAGATGTGTACGATCTGTTTCCATGCGAAGAACCTCTACTGCGGTTATAACTGTAGCTTGTTGCTGATCATGATATGGCCATGTTCAATTAGAAGGTTGACGTTTTCCTCTAATGCCTGTATTCTGATTTGAGGGTCATATACCTGTGTAATGAAAACGGCAGTGCAACGGGCAATTCTTTTGTGCCTTCGATCTGAAATTGTAGCGAGTCTATCAATCTCGGCATTATCGTCGCCAAATGCGGGCACTTGCTGAATGGTTACTGGCAGTCGTCATAATGATATCTTGTGCAAAAGTCTCTTATCTATTTCTCGAACTGCAACCAGGCACTGCATGTGTCTTAATAGTTGTGAGGGAGCTTTGCCACCAAATTCCATGTTGCTTAACAGATGCTTCAACACTCGTCTGTCAGACGAAAAAGTACACTGGATGACTGCTGTCTAAGAATGTCATATAGAGATCCAGTACCTGGTTGTGTAATGTCCTGACGCACTTGATCATTAATTCGCTCTGGTAGGATGGTGCTAAGAAGACCGAATTTTACATTCTGCCAGATGATCTTATTTGGAATGAAGTAGTTCTCTAGTCTGGCAATCCATAACTGAGAATCTCTGGAAGTGAATAATGGAACATTAAGAGAGAATGCACTGACGGATACCGGCTTTAAATTGACCTCCCTGCTAGATATGATAAGAATCGTGAAAATCCAAAGTAAAACCAAGAGGAATATATATATATATATATATATATATATATATATATATATATATATATATCCGAACAAGGTGTAAATACAAGTAGATTGCTTAGCAAACAAAAGCGAGTCTGATTGCAAGGACAGTTTATGACACGAGTTCAAAATATGTAATACACTCGACAACAGGTAATGTAATCCATGGAAATTATGAAATACAGATATTTAATCAGGTGTCGGGTTCATCACTTCTGTGGTGTGTATACATAACGGTATTAGTTGCAAAGGGTTTCCAATGTGAATCGGATAAGGTGAGAATATATCACCCCTATTTGATCAAAATGTTATAGGCCTTATCGTACCTAACATGCGCCAACCGAACATAGGTCAACGACACGTAAATCAAAAGACAAACACCACAGGATTCAAAAGGATGCAATTAATAAAGTTGTTCGCTATGCAATGTATATCAGTAAAAATTAGTTTCTATTGTAATGTAATATCGGTACATATGATATCTGTCAAGAAAGTTAAATAAAGTTATTACATGGAGAATGCAGCAAGTCTACCTTGAAATTAGTAAATCCCCACAAACCTCTAGATTGATTTTTTTTCAATTTACTGCATTAAAACAATATACAGGTATTTTAAACTGTGCAGTGCATATAACTTCTTCAAGAGAACAAAATCAAACAACAATTGTTCAATCTGTCAGCATATTATCATAAAGTAATTAGTGAGGTTACGTAAAACTAGCGTTTTCAAGTGTTCAATAAAGTATTGAACACAGAATCATTTCAATTACATACAGTAACAGTACAACACCATATACCAATCGACAATATAACAACAATTCCATTTTTTCTGTTTCATGAAAGAAAAGCGGTTGTTTTCTTATTTATTCTCAATGTGTTCACGAATTTTTTTTCACACCATACTTTTCTCCACTTAATACAATTATAACAGCATAACCACAATTTTGATATTATGTAAAACGATCTCAACAGTAAGACAGATGGTATTTCACTTATTACCTTCCAAATTTCAAACGGAATTTCAGAGTAATTACTGTGCTAAAGAACAAATTCCTTCACAATTGACTATCATAACAGCTTACATATATATATATATATATATATATATATATATATATATATATATATGCCGCATAAATGTGCTGAAACTTTATACAGTCACCTGAAAGCATTCCTGCAATTTATTTATTAGTCGTCCTGCTGACAATTTCTACTTTTCCACTGTCCTCTTTTATAGATATATCGGATTCCAATAGCTAGATTACACAATGCCATGCAAATGTCCAAATATCTTCTGGAGTATCCTATGGTTGTTTATATTACTACTCATTGCCTGGCCAGTATCATTTTTCTTAACATGGATCTATTTAGTGCTGATTGTGTTCAGTGTCTGCTGTCAGTGTTTACAACCGTTAACCGATATAATGGGCAAGGTGATGATGTTTCCAGTGACTTGTGCCAAAGGTGTTGTTGAAGGTAATTCAGTGTGGTAAACAGTAAAAAACAAAAATTGTGCATGTCTATTTTAAATACACTGACAGATTATGTTTCAAATAGGGATGTCTGGCATTTTTATGCATCCACCATTCTATTTTTTATGCACTACTGTATTGCACATATGTACTGTTTCATTTCATGTCAAGTTCTATGCTTAACTTGTATTACTGTCGTAATTACTGCTTAAACATGATCACATGAATTTGATAAGAAATACTTTATATATATATATATATATATATATATATATATATATATATATATATATACATCTTGAACATGCATCCTTCTTTCTACTACTTTTCAATTCTGCGCTATTGAATATTGAACAAAAACCATCAAAATAAACCAGCAAATGCATATTCATGTATGTAAACATACATCTTTGTATTTCTGTTAATTATTTAATTATGCTTGAAAGAAAACATTTTCTGTCTATTTCTTTCACTTGCATAAAATGTTACTTTTCGAAGTGCTGGTTAGAATCTTCTAAATGGGGTGTCACCTATCTATTAAATAAGACTGATGATTAAACCGTTAAGAAAAGCAACAAGTATTTAGTTTTTGAAGGTGTGTAGCAAAAAGATTTAGAATAATGCTAGTTATTTACATCTTTAAGATCAAATTAATTTGATGAACAATAGTAATATAATATGAAAGTAGTATAAGGCGAATTAAAAGTGAACAGAGAAAACATTCATCATGTGTGACAAATATCGTACACGAATGTGTACACATTAAAATAAGGGTGTTTTCAAGTTTTAAATACTTTTTGAAAAACTTTAACGGTAAGAATAATACAAGATAATGAAAGAATGACTACTGTACTCTATGGTACGACCAACCGACTGACTGAATGATGGAATTTTAGCATTTCAATATTATCTAGCAGTGATTTCACTGTTAAATGAAGTTTTTTGCGACGTTCTTGCCCTACAAATATGATTTTCATAAGACATTCCCCTTCAGTTGATGAATATCTTACTTGATTACTTTCTGATCACTAAACTACTGAGAAAAAACGGTCAATGAAAATGGAATGATTTTTTTGTTCACTGAGACAGGTTTATAAGTATCAAACCCACATGGATCGGTAAATAGTAGTCTAAGAATCTAGCACTGAGGTAGGATGTAATTTCATATTAGATTTTAGTACAAGGGTTTTTATATGCTAATAGAGACCGATCAATTCGGTCCAATCAACGACGGTATCATATAAAAACCCTTGTACTAAAAACTATACCCGTCACACAAGAAGTGGCTATCGTGGGTTGGTGGTGTAGTGGATAACGCCCTGGCGTTTGAAGCAGTCGCTCAAGAGTTCGAATCCCTGTGGGAACAACACTCACTGGGAAGCAGGTACATTCACGTACGAGTCCCAAGTAGGAAGAAATACGCGTCCTAGATTGCACTGCCAGCCACGGTCCATCATCATATCAGATTTGTTTATTTGATATGTGGCACACAATGACACAGCATTATTTACTTGATCACGTTTTGAGCGTAAATTATTACTTCCAATCATATCAGTGCAATCATACAGATTTCAACATCTAATTTATATAGTCCTATCACAATTCATATCCTTTGTTTTCCCTGGCAATAAAATTTTCTATATCTCTAGTATGAGTGTTGCCTCATCCCTACTGCATGTGTTGGATATTGATTCAGTAAACATAGATTGAGTAATCAATCTCTCTCTGTTTATCTAACTACAGTGAACTTGGGTACACTGGATTTATCCTACCTTAGTGTGTTGCTTTTTTAATGTTTGGAATACAATAGTTGAATTTTCTTCTAAATTTTTGAGCCATTAGGTTCTCTCCTTCCGTATATAGTTAGATTCCTATTTACCAATAATCGAATTGGCCCCTATAGGCCAACTTTGACCTACGTACTTGACCTCAACAAAATTGACGAACAAATTTAAACAGGACCATATAATAATAACGGCTTTATTCTGAAGAGATCAAAAAACCAATAGACACTATGATGAATAAGATTCAAAAACCTACAGGCGATGTGATACATCAACTAAAGCCATTTCTAGGTGAGTCTAAATGATTTAATTTAATGATTGAACCTAGTAATTTTAACACAACTTGCAATACTATGAAGGTTCACAAACCACGTCGGCCCATTACACCGATAGTTGTCTTCAGAAATACTGCAACATATGAACTATCAAAGTATTTCGTATCCATATTATGTCCGATTAGGAACTGTTCAAATTTTTGACCAATCACTTCCTACGATTTCAATCTAACACTTACTGATATATCCATGAAAAGATGGTAAGTTTCGATGTAACAGGTCTTTATACTAACATACTAATCAACATAGCACTGTAAGCAGACACAAATCAACTCAGTACTTACTCACAGAACTAAAGTAATGATTGATGAAACCATGTTAGGTGTGTAGTTTTGTTTGGGCACCATAGTCTTCAAGTTTCTGAACAAAACATTTGTACGAACAGAAGGTATACCAATGGGAACACCAATACCCTTAATCGTGACAAAAATACTTATGGATAGTTGCGAAAAGGCGGATTCAGTGATAGGTTCAATCCAACTCATTAATGAGTTAGAAAAGGAACAAGGAGAACTAGCTTTGTTGAATTGCAGAGTAAAACGAAGAGCAGACGGTGACTTAGATACCACTGTCTACAGGAAACCGACACATTCTGATAGGTATCTAGACTTCGGGTCACTTCATTCAATGTCACTTAAGACAAGTTTAGTCAAATGTCTAAAAAACACAGCTAAAAATGCTCACTAGTCAGTGTAAGGACTTAAATAATAAACTGAAACATATAAAAAAGTGTTAATAGTTAATAGTTATCCTCTGCGTTTTATTGAGAAATTCTTACCAGCACAAAAGAAACGAATCAATAACAATGTCGATAATAACGACAACATGAGAAGAAATGAGTTCAAAGCCCTTACTGTGTTACCACATAAAGGAGAAACACCAAAAACTTTACGCAGTATGCTCAACAAAGCTGAAATTAGGGTGATATTTAAACCTACAAACTCACTCAGAGATAAGCTTTGTCGACTTAAGGATCCATTAGATTCGATAAATCAAAATAATCTAATCTACTATCCATGTGAGGTGGGTGAAACTAGCTGATTTAGGTCAATTAGATAATCGAAAACTAGAAGTTTAGCCAAATGTGAAATGATAGACCCCGATAGGATCAATAGTCCAGAAAGTTACTTAGCAATTTCAATGCATTCATTACCACAAAAAAACACAATAGAGTGGGAAAAATCCAGTAAAAAAAGAGAATACCAGATAATAGAACTATGAAGATGATATGTTGAAATCTGTGTGATCACATTCAGTTGATCAGGAATGATAATTTATGCTCGAAATATGATCAAGTAAATTATACTGTATCACTATGTGCTGCATATCAAATAAGCAAATCTAACATTGTCCAGTCCTGAGTGCTGACGGAACTCTATAGATCCTCTAAGAATATAGTCCTTTAGGTAGGTGACTCATTATTGCACTGCATTCTGACTGATGTTTATTGGTCGGAGGTAATCTCATCAAGATGACCTGCTTGACTTAAGTTTCCTGCTTGTTTGTCATTCGTTAGCAAGGAGTATCTACCATTTCGAGTGTTGAATAATATTAGGTCAATGATAGAATTTAAATCGAAAAATGTTTCAGCAACATTTTTCTACGTATTATAAATGATTCATACAGTGCACATTAGCTAACAAATAGGTTAGTCTCCACTTTGTCAAGGAGTTGTTGGTTTGATGAATGTTTAATGGAGCGAATCCTAAATTTGATTGCAAGGCAGAAATATGAATCATCTTGAAGTTTTAGCCAATCGATTTAACATCAAGCACTTTTTTCAAGCTGTGCTTCTCAAAGAAAACTATTTCACTACACACATGCACTAGACTATGTTTTCCAAAAGTTTTCAATAGTGTTGTACTCTCAATAGACAAACTATACACTACATTAGTCAAGAATAAGTAAGATTAAATTAAAAGGATTGAGGATTTAATCAAGGATGAAGATGTATATTTACCAAACGGAACTGACCACATTCAAAAGTTTCACAATCAGATCAGTAAGACTCTGAATACATTTGTCAAATAATCAAACAAGACTAACTTTGAATGAAATCGAACAAACGCGCTTCACTCCAATTTTAATGTAGAACATAACTGTACAAACTGTTTTTCCAAAACTGGCTATAGTCTATTCAAGGAACTTTCAAAAACACTAAAAGGCCTTGTACAGCCATGCAAACACTTTATCAAATCCTCAGCAGAAGTTTTGGAAAACATTAAGAGCTCATGTATGAATAAGGACAAATTAATGATACCCTTCGATGTCATAGCATTATTCGTGTCGATTGAACCAAAACTGGCTAAGCATACTAACTCTCTCCTGCATAATGATAATGTAAGGTTTCCGGATTGCATAAAACTTCCGTGTTCAACCTCTAGAAGGGTCTTTATCTTACGTCTCATATAATAATTCGATTTCAGTGATTAAATATGATAACGAGTCAAAGAAATGGATAGTTAGATTCACTGTACAGATCTGATGCTGATGTTTTACTAGTGATCAAACCAAAACATAAACATCTATATGGCCACTATTCTTTTTATCATTAGACGAAGATGAAGTGAAATTTACTCACAACTCAACCAACAACATCTTCGATAATTTTACATTCACAATCGAGGAGGAATCGGACACGAGACCATGATTCTTGGATATATTAGTCATTAGGACTATCATATAAGACTCAAGTGCATAGGAAGCTAACGTATCCTGACCTAATCCCCAACTTCAGCAAAGCCCAACCCAGGCAGCTCGTAATGTCACATGCATGAAGACTTCATTCAAAAGCCCAGGAACGCACTGCAGTACAACAGCTTTTAAGAAAAATTATTAAATCACTATCCTACGGATGAACGGTTGTCTGCACAACCTCATCATACGGTCTCTGTTCACCTGATCACCAAGTTTAGAGTGATCCTTGGTAGTCAGCAGATGGTCTTATCATACTTAAAGAATATTTCACCAATCAGGCATAACTCATAAGCCTACGGATTTTCTCTAGGCTGTATTATTCAGACCAAAAGACGTAGCATTCAGCGAAGATAAATGAAATGTCATTTACAAAGTCAACTGCAATGAATATCATTGGACACTG